CGAGTGCAGGGAACCGGTTGGCAAAAGCCACTCACAAGTTTGAGTGATAAGTGACAAGCTAAGGTTCAACACCGCCCCTACGCATGCTCAATGAATCTACTTTCCCATTATCACTTTCGTACGGGTAAATCCGCTCCAGGCAAGTGAGAAAGTCTATTGAATAGAGTCTATTGCTTCGTGCCATGGAGGGCTCGAGAGCCCCGAACAACCTAGCCTGGAAAGTGAAGCTGCTTTGCGGGTTCCCCCTTTTGAGGGGACATCTAACATTGACCCGCTTGGAGCCCAAAAACCATAAACCCCGCGTCCGGAGCCAATTTCATTTTCGGAAGCCCCGGCCTTTGGCTCCACGGCCCCAAGCTCAATGGCCACCAACGTCAAGTTGTCGAGCGAGCTGCTGCAGAGCTGCAGCATCGCCTCTGCGATAAGGCCCCGCCTACATGTTTACGCCTTCGACCTTGCGCCGACAAAACAAAAAACCGGTGCGCCAGCCCCGTTTCCAGCGTCAGATCAACATGTATACATTTTTTGACGTTGCCCAACCAATCAGGTGGATGCTGGAGAACCAGATCAACGCGGCACTGAATGCGACTTGCCCAAACAAGGGGGCTGTCAGCGAGTGGGGCAAGCTCCCTTCAGCCTGAATCAAATAAACCATAAACCAGCTACAAACGGTTTTGTCGGGTTTCTGCCACCCAGCATGCGTTTCCACAGAACACAAGCATTCTGGCCAATATCCTGCACCATGTTCCGGTGGCTAGATTCTTGGATCAAACCTGCTTGGCCGGGTCAATAGCTGTCCCACATCGTGCCGACGAGCGCAAAACTCCCTATTAAATTACAACCTGAAACTGCGATGTTAGTTCCTTCAAGTAGATGACACCATATCAGGATTCCTGTTGAACAATGCTCAAATTGAAACAGAGTTTGATCAAATGTTCTTTCTATCACCCGGTCGTGAACATCTGCTCCATTCGGTCCTCCACCACCTGGCCCAGGTCTTTCCCCTTCGTCGCTCTGCGGCAGACCCTGTCGACCACCTGCCGGTGCAGGCCGGCAGGTGAACGCCAAAGCCTACGCCCTATTCCGACCAAAACAAGTGAAAGACAACTACCGACCACACATCTCAAACATAAAATACCAGGCCTTGACTTGGGTACTGTCGACCCTGGAATGAATGTTTTGTGGAGTGGACTGATAGGGGTTGTTCCCCTGAGAGTGAAGGATCTCTAAGATGAGACCCACCACCCCCAACACATCAACCACGAGGCTCTTTTTCCGGGGTTCCCCCGTCACCCCTCTAGCAAAAATTGTGCTTAACTTTGACCCCGCCTGCTCGTTGGAAGCCGCGTCCCAGATCCCGTCGCAGGCAAGAATCAGCCAGTCCCCCCGCGTGGCATGCCACTTGTGGAAGTCTGGCAGGCAGGAGACCTTTTGGTCCTGTCGAGACCAACACTCACCGCTCGGCTGCTGTAGCTTCCCTTACTAGGGCTCCACAGCAAGATGAAATGAGGCATGAATTGAATGGATATCCAACCAACATCAAAAAAGCCAGCTCGACACGCTAGCCCAAGCGTCCTCCGGCCAAAGTGCCTCCTGCTTCAGCTCGAAGGACCCAAGCGCACGGCTGCATGATAGGACGCCATCCACTCGCGGTGGGTCGTCTGGGTCCTCCTGTTGAAACCAACAAGGATGCGTCTGGACGGGCCAAGGAACATTAACAAACGCAAGCCAAGTCAAGCACGGCAAAGAACCTCCAAGCAAGCCCACCAGCCAGGCAGAAAGCAAGCAAGCAACGTCAAGCAACGCAAGGCCAAGCAACGCAAGGCCAACCAATGCAAGGCCAAAAAAACGAGGCCGAGCAAGCAATCAAACAAAAAAGTTGCTCGCTTGCTGGGCCTGCAAGCAAGGCCAAACAGGCAATCAAGCAAGGCCAGGGCAAGGCAAGGCCGAGCAAACAAGACAGCTGGAAGGCAAACAAAGCATCCCTCGATTTGCTTTACAAGATCAAACCAACGCACACTGGGGTTGAAACAACGGTTTTCCAAGCTTAAACTTCAATAAACACTCCGTCTAAATGGTGTCAAACAAAGATATCACAAGCAGCATGAGCAAGACTAGTGAATAACACTGTGCAATTCAGCGATTTGCATGCGTCACACGCAGGAGGGGATCTTTCACTTTTCGCAGGTCCCATGTTGGATGAGGAGAGGTTGTTGGGCGATCAACTGGATTGCTCTGCCTGACATGTCAGAAGTCCCTGGGTACGGTAGATGTTCAATATCCTGCACCTTGATTCCTTGATTGGGGATCACATCAGTTCACAGTGCATGTGTGAGATTCCAAGGTTCGGGCGCACCTTCTGGCTTCGCATGGAAGCAGTGGGCTGGCTGGTTGCTTGCTTCCTCCTTCCTTGGCCAGTCGCCTCTCCCTCTCCGACTCTACGAGGGTCCTTGGTGACTTCCCCACCAGCGGCTTCGATTCTCCGACGCTCGTCAACGTCGCTGGGCCGATGGTCTCTTGTTGATAGAAGCGTGTTGCTTTCCTGCGCGGCATAGCGACGTGAGGGACATCAGGAGGTTTATACCCTGGCCACATTACATCACGGGTATTGAGGATGCGGTTGTTTGGCATTCCACTAACATTTGAAGGCCCATGCTTCCAGACATGCATAACACGAAATGGATCAATGGGAGGCAAGCAGAGAACAGCAAACATGGGTGTTGAGGATTCCCTCAAATCAGCAAAGTTCGCTCACCAGCCTTGGCCTCAAACGATGAGTTGCGCCTTGTAAGCCCCCGCTTAAGAGAGCAAACAACCAAACTCCCTGAAAGAAGGTTCTTAAGTCAGCCCTTTTTCCCCTGATCAGGGCTGAAAAGTCATTCCTTCCAGCTCCCCATGCCCAAGCGCCTTCTGCCATAAGACAGCGCGACAATCTCCACAACTTCCCACTAAGAGCTCGAGAGCGTCCTGTAGCAGGTGCCAAGCCACCCGCAATCCAGAATATACCTTTGTTTACTAGCAACATGGGGAGCCGCTGTAGTGTCGACAATCTACCCTCTTGCTAAGCGTGTCCCTTTTTAGCAAATGAACTATTGCAGCATGAAAAAAAATCAGGTCGCCCAGCTGTCCGCCAAGAGGTCACTTTCATTTGCGTAGCGCTTGCATCACAACACCAAAGTGCCGAAATGACAACAACACGGGAGATCTCAAAAGCAACATGGGAGCGAGCCGAGTTTTCCAAAGCGCGCCCGGTCCTGGGAGCTCTCCTTGACACGCACAACTGTGGCCTCGGCAGAAAATGGCGGACGGGTTTCATCGACTCTCTCTCGATCCTTCAATCCTTCGGGATGAAAATTCCAAAATTTGGGAGCAAACATGTTGGCTGGCTTCTAAAAAATTAGTGAAACGCGGAAGTTAACCTTCAGAGCTGGACCAGCTATCCCTCCTTTAGACACGAACCAAAAGGTCTCCAACTTTAGGGACATCTCCCTTTTGTGCGGTTGAACTTCAAAACTTGACACCTGCATGTCTGCTGCATACACTTTGCGCTGCCTGCGTATACATGTGAACCAAAATCCTTCAGCAAAAAAAAAAGGATCCCGCCCTCCGCCCCCTCCCCCCTTGCGGGGGCTCTACCCGGCTGGGAGGCTAGTTTGGCGCTTGCCTTGCGACTTTAGATCCAGCATTCACGCAACATGGTGGCAGGCGCAACAAGCTGCCTTCAATGTCACAGTGACGCGCAAACCGCACCTATTTGCCGCTGCGGCTTCGTGCCATCAAAAATGCATATGGCTCTTTACAAAGCGTTTTGCCAGCTGCGAGAAAAAGAAACACTACTGCAGCCTCCGTTCGTCCTGGCCCAGCCGTCAAGTGTGCAATTTCGTACTTACCTGCCTTGCGAGAAGTTTGCAGCTGTTTGAAAGACGCATCCCGCCAAAAACATATGTGTAAAGATCCAAACGCATTCTGGACGGCTGGGCCACGGTCACGGCGAGATCGCGCTTGCAAATCAAAGTTGGAGCTGGGCTTGTGGAGTTGGTGCGGCTGTGGTTACAGAAGATCATCACTATACACAAAGTGAAGTTGCACTGTTCGGGCTGGAACCATATTTGGGGTCTCGCGCCGACAATCCCCCAAATCTTCAACACTCAGTCCTTGAAATCCTGACAAATCGTCTCCCCCCGACGCTTTGATCTGGCCCGAGCACCGTGGTGCCGGCTTCGGTCTGCGGCAGGCGCTCGCGCAGCTCCGCGTCGCAGGCCTTGAAGGCTTCCTGCCACTCGCTGGCAGTCTCCGCCTCACAGGCACTCGTGGCCATAACGGCTTCGACTGAAAGAGAACATGTGGCTGTGGCTCAAAAAACCGGTGCCAAAATAGAACCCTGGTAAGTGGAAACGTGGACCAAAACCTGCGTAACCCCTTCTGTTTAATTTTGAGCCACACCCATGTGGGTTTGCCTCTTGACAAAGCCTCATGGAAGAAGTTTGAGATCCGACTCTGGAAGAACTGTTGCACGTATTGGGTAGAAGGAATGTCAAAATATTGACACCCTCAACCACCGCAGACCAATTTGCATGCTGTTTTCGACACAAAGACACGTTGGAACGACACTCTCCCCAGAATGAAAACGGAAATGACATCGGAACGGGTTCCAAAGGCTCAAGCTAGCTTCGAGACATACAAACCGTCTAGCCTCTCTAGCCCTTTCTACGCAGGGTTTCCCATGCCCCAACCCAAACTTGGACCAGGACCTAAAAAAGCTTCCCTAGCCACAAACATGTGGAGGATCAATCCGAATCAGTATTCCCCCCCCCTAAAGACTGAAACAAACAATCCAGCCCTGAAATTGCTGCCAAATTAAAGCAAAACTCAACGCTAGCATAGCTAGCTTTCGTGGAAGCCAAAAGGAAACCAGTCCCATTGGTAAATGTGAGGACTCCGAGTTCAAGGCGCAGCCATTGCGCCGCCAACCCACACGCACACATACACACACCAGGCGCCTTGGCCAAATGCAGCGGAAGCCTCTCCGCGCAAAAGGCGGCCGCCTCGTCACCCAAGTGGCCATCAAAGACGGCCACAAGAGCGGCCGTCTGGTCAAGGACGTGGAAATCCTCGAAGCTGGTTCTGTCACCCTGGCGCACGGTCGATTTGAAATCCTGGAGGCGCGAAACTAAAAGTTTGTGTTTGAGCAGTGGCTTTGCAGCTGCGCGCGGGCGAGTGCCGACAAAATATCCTCAGCACCCTGGCGTCGCCTTCCCAACCGAACAAGCATTGAACGGTTCACATTCTGTGCCCCTGACCGTCCACGCTTTTGCAGACTCTAGCCTTGGTACGGATCAGCAAGCACAATTCAAATTGAGCAAACCCAAGGAGGCTCTTTGCCAGCGGCCAGGGTAGAACAACCTTGGAATGAACACAACATCCAAATGTTCTGGCCCACACAAGTCCAGACTTTTTCCGTCAAAATAGTTTTCAAATATAAAGTGCAAGAAGCCGCCCCCATGCCTGCATACAGGCAGATGCCGCCCGGCCAAGATTCCCCTGACTGCGGCGCAGCACCGTGGCCGTCACGGTCTCTCCCAGCACCATCTTTCACAACAAGATGCCGAGTCAAAGGAGAAACTCCAAGGAAAGATGCGGGACATCAGGGCCTTGTCAAGCTGTTCTCCTACACGTCGCATTGCGTATCGGTGCATGTCCTTGACCGCGTGGTGTAGAATGTGTAACATTTGAATCCTTGACCCTTGAGCCAGCTGCCGGACATCATCCATGCCAAGCAAAACCAACGGAATCGATGGAGCAGGAGGCAGAGCGAAGCAGGCCTCTCACCACTGGAGAAAGATCAGGACCCTGCCAGCTTATCATCCAGAAAGATAGCGAAAACACCAGCATCGATATGTCTTAGCATGCCGGCCGGTGTTGACATCAAACACTGACAGTTGCAGCTTGAAGCATCCGCCGAGTTGCGACCCATCTGGGCCTGCTTTGAGGGTGTGCTCTCTTTGGTTGTTTTGAAGGGGAGCCAAAGGAAAATCGCCCATTGTAAAGAGCCAATTTGAGCTTCCCGTTCACTGGGGGCACCGAGGGAACCCCACTCATACGCACCCAAAGAAAGCTCAGGCTTCATGATCTCCATGGTCTCTACCGCTCACGGGCTCGATGCCCACATCTGACTTGTCGACTTCCAAGGCACAAACTAATCACCTTCCAACAAATGAACCCCTGGAGGACAATGATGTTTCTCGTACGGTAAATGTACCTTTGCGTCATTGGTGGCTTCCATAGCAACATGGTTGAAAGAATGAATATTTGCCTTACACGCGACGGGCTTGTCCCCTATCCTTTTGGCTTTCCTTTGATCAACTCAGAAAGGCTGCTCGCTTGCTCGCTTGCTTGCTCGCTTCCTTTCTTGGCCAGTCGCTTTTCCCTCTCCGACTCTTCTCCGAGTTCTTGGTGACTTCCCCGCCTGCGGCTTCGATTCTTTGACGCTCCTCCGCGTCATTGGGCCGATGGTCTCTCGTTGCGAGAAGCGTGTTTAGGCATTTCACGAGCGGTTGAAGTTCTAAACATACATAACACGAAATGGATCAATGGGAGGAAAGCAGTGAATAGCAAACACGGTTGTCGAGGGTTTCTCGACCCCTGATTCATGAAACCCTGAAAAAAGGAATCTCTATTAAAAAGGGACCCCTGATAACTAGCTGAAGGTTTGTTAATCAGGGGTCAACATTAACAAGCAATGCTAAGTAGCTACTGGCCGCTAATCAGAAAAAGCCTACTGGCAACGGGTAAACTGGTCAAACCACTGGCAAGCATGAATGATCCCTCGGCCATTAGGCAACCAGAGAGCGACGCCAAGAAAGCCCGCGCTTTTTCGGCCATGTAAGGTACGAGCCTGCGGCCGCGACATCTAATCTTGCTGCTTCTTGCAAATTATCAAGGCTACATGTGTTGCTTCCCGTTGAAGCCGAGTCACGGGAAGCCTGCCATATGCAGGACCAATTCCGGACAAACACGCAGGAAGGCTTCGATTTTCGGAGCATCCATTTGCTGGAGCATTCTGCAGATGGATGCTCCGGAAATCGAAGCCTTCCTGCGTGTCGTCAATCGTCCGCCGCACATCCGCAGTGTTTCAAAAGCAGTGTTTCAAAGGAAGGGAGCCCGCGTTCGCACCGGGGCGCGTGTCCGCGTGAGGCTAGGGATGCACTAACCAAACGCACAATTGTTCGAGACATGAGCCGCTAAGTGGCTGGCAAGACTGCTCGGTTTCTTGACTCGTTGGCAGGAGACAGCATGCACTGTTACTCATGAAAAGGTGGTCATGAAAATGAGGCTGGGATTATCCTTGGGTCTCATAAGATACGAGCCTTAGGCCGCGAAATCTAATCTTGCTGCGTCTTGCAAAGGTCAAGGCTAAATGTGAAAACATATCTTGATGCTTCCTGTTGAAACCGAGTCACGGGAAGCCGGCTGCCAGCATCTGCAGGACCGAGCTCCGGACGAATTCCGGAGCATTCTGCAGATGGATGCTCCGGAAATCGAAGTTTTCCTGCGCGTCGTCAATCGTTCGCTTCACATCCGCCGTGTTTCAAAAGGAAGGGCAGCCCGCGTTCGCACCGGGGCGCGTGTCAGTGAGGCTAGGGATGCACTAACCAAGCGCACAATTGTTCGAGACATGAGCCGCTAAGTGGCTGGCAAGACGGCTTGGTTTCTTGAGGAGACAGCATGCACTGCTACTCATGAAAAGGTGGTCATGAAAAGTCAAAGTCCGGCTCTTTTGGTTCTTAAAGCGACTCCAGAATCTGCCAGCAGATCCAAATCAAAGAACTGCATTCCTGATTCTTTGCTCGGTGACAAATGCTCAAGAAGAAGTGGGAGGCGGAAGGGCGCTTGAGATGTATGCCGATCGGGCTTGCACATGCGACCTGGCCACTCCCCCCGCGGCCTGCGACACGCTGCTCATCGTGCGGCCTGCGACACGCTGCGGCCGCTGTACCGGCAGGGTCCTGACTGCAACCCGTCACTGACCCCTTTCCCACTCAAACTGGCATCCTTCTCTAGGGTCAAAAGATGCACCTGCCTCGTGCAATTCAGGGCTCGAGACATTCAGAACAACATAGCCTGGAAAGTTGACTGCCTTGCGGATTCCCCCTTTAGGACACCTAACATTAACCCAAGAGCCCCCAAAAACCTCGGGTCCGGAACCATGCTCCGAAGCCCCGCCTTGCACTCCGCTATGTTGGTTGGATCAGTGTCCTGTCTGTCTCTGCGGCAGACCCTGGCGACCACCTGCCGGTGGTCAAAATGAGTCGGAGACCCTTACAACCCCAGAGCCGAGCCTACACTTTATCTTGACCAAAAAAACGGTGGCAAAGCAAACTACCCACACACATGTAGAAGGTAAAATACCAGGTGACTTGGGGAATGTCGACCCTGGAGTAAAAACATTTTTGTGGACTGATAGGGGGTTGTTCCCCGCAAAAAAACAAACAAAAAAGGTCTCTAAAATGGGACACCCGACCCCGCAACAAATCAACCACGAGGTTCTCCTTTCGGGGTTCCCCCATCACCCCTTCCAGCAAAAAGCTTAACTTTGACCCATCCCAAATGCCAGCCAGTCCCCCAGCATAACATGCCGACACGAAACCTTTTAATCTTGTCGACCTACACTCACCACTCAGCTGCTAACTCCCCTTAGCATGGCTCCACATCGAGATGAAATGAGGCATGAGTTGGATGGATATCCAGCCAACATCAGAAGAGCCTCCGACGTTGGGCAAGGGGTCGAAGATAGCGCTCTTTTGGTTCCTAAAGCGACTGCAGAATCTGCCAGCAGATCCAAAGTAAGAACAGCATTCCTGATTCTTTGCTCGGTGACAAATGCTCAACATGAAAAAGTGGGAGGCGGAAGGGCGCATAAGATGAAACCCGATCGAGCCAGCTCGAAGAACCCCGGCCATGCGACCTGGCCACTCCCCCCACGGCCTGTCTGAACAAAGCAAGAAGGATGAAAATGGCGCCCCTTCGGATCATAAGCTAGCCAGGTCACTCTCCGCCCAAAGCCAGTTGGAAGGACGGTAAGTTCCGAAACCACTTTGCGCATCATGAGAACGCCCTACAAGGCCCGGCGATGGAACCCGCAATCCACCCCCCTCACTGCCTGCATGCAGAAGGCGCCCTCCCCAGCCGTCCATCGCGTTGCAGTTGCAGCGTCATGGCCGTCACGGCCAGCGTCTTTTCGAGGCGTCGAGCAATTGTTGCTGACTTGGGCCAGCAGCCGTTGAAACAATCCTAATCCATGCAAAGCAGTGAAATGCTGACACCAGAAACCGCGGCAGGACTCTGGTATATAACTTGAGGTTTGCCTCAGTTGTTTCGTTTGAGCCACACCCGTGTGGCTGCACATCTAAACATGCGCGTTCGGTTGGCTTTGGAATGCACATGCCTGTGAATCTGTGACCTTGATGCAAACCCATTTTGGACAGGCAAGCCACCGCTTCTGCCATGGGCAGTTTTGTTGCTAGGTGCGTCGTGTGAGAGGCTAAAAATATGTTTTTTTCTTTGAAAAAAAAAAGAAGAGAAAAAACGTGTGCCTAAGGAACAGTGTGTTGACATTTGCACGCCCAGTGGTGCCATTTTGGGGGTACCCTTTCTCGAGCAGCCACGTGTCTGGCAAGCAAGCACTCTTTTTCAAATGGCGTACTGTGACAAGTTACAATGATTCAGCTGCAAAAATGCTACCAGCGTTGGGCTTTGCGCATTCCACAGCAGCCGAACCAAGCCTTAGTTCGCAGGTTTACAGGGTTCTGGGGGCGGAACAAGCATGGGGAGTGGTGTGGACATCACTTCAACACACATCTCCCTCACGAACGAGGAATCGACTGCATGCATTGATCAATGCGTAACATTGCTCAAAATGAATACTAGGCCATGCGGACAAGCAAGTCAGAGAAAGACTCCAAGAATGCCGATGCTTTTTAGGCTGTGTAGGATATGTGCCTTCTTGAAGTGCGCAAACACTGGCGGTTAAATATCACAAACGTGAGCATGCTTCCCTTTGAAGCGAAGTCACCAGGATGCTTCGAAAATCGAAGCTTTCCTCCATATCGTCCATCGTCCGCCTCACATCCACTGTGTTTCAAAAGCGCAATGTTTCAAAGGAAGGGCAGCCTGTGTTCAAACTGGGCGCTTGACCGCGTGAAGTTAGGGATGCACGAACAAAAAGTACACTTGTTGGAGACATGAGCCGCTAAGTGGCCAGCAAGACTGCTTGGATTCTTGATACTCATGCAAAGGTGGTCATGACAAGTCAAAGTCCGAGTGGGGGGTGGGAGATCCATACCTTGATCCACTACGGGGAAGACACAGGGTGGAAAAGTGAGTTGAGGCTGGGATCATTGGGTCTGTACCAATTGCATACCGGGCACTCCGCGTCAACCTCCCACGTTGGAGGGGTGGAAGCCGAGCTCTTTTGGTTCCTAGCGACTGAATCAGAGTCCAAAATTGGTAGCGGCATTCCTTATTCTTCGCTCGGCCAATGCTCAACATGAAACAGTATTGGTGGGCGGAAGGGCGAAGATGAAACCCTT